TAATATCTGTAATGGGCAGCAGCAGATGAAAGGCCTGCCTGTCACAGTGATGTGAATCAAGCTGGATTCATCTGGAAACTATAAGACTTTTCACTCATTATAACACACACACACACACACACACACAGGGGTGTTGATGTGAGGGGTGAGTGTTGAGCAGTCTCTGTGTGTGTGTGTGTGTGTGTGTGTGTGTGTGTGTGTGTGTGTGTGTGTGTGTGTGTGTGTGTGTGTGTGTGCGTTACCTGAATGCCAGCCTGTTTCCTGTATGTCTATGTAAAAACATCTGTTCTCTCTTTGCGTATTCTTGCTACCTGTATGTGTGTCTTTAACTTTAAGAATGCACATCTGTTTCCTGTGGTGTGTGTGTGTGTGTGTGTCTGCTACCTGTGTGGATGTGTGAATGAATGGACATCTGTTCCTTGTCTAATTGTTCCATTGTATTCGATAGTTACTAAGCATCATAGATAAACATTTGTAAAAGCAAACATATATTTACCAACACTAATGTTTATTTAGATAAACCCACTGCCAAACATGTGATCCAGCTAAGGTGTTTTGAAACTTTTTGCTGCCCGGGGACCTTCAAATATGATGATCCTCTTGTGAGGGACCACCCTCACTAAAATATCAAGGCAGCTATATATTATAATGCATAAAATGCATAAAGACCCAATTATATAACCGTAAAATGATAAAGACTTTTATTATTTTACATTGCCATTATCCTAAAGCAAATAATTTAAATATTATATGCCTGTCTGTAATCAAATATTTTAATAATGTAAATGTAATATAAATAGATATTTTTCATATATTTAAATTATTTGCTATATATATGAAATATGAAATATTTATATACTACAATATAAATATATATATTTCATATAATGTTTGAATTATTTATATTTTGTATATTATTTATTTATATTCTATACACATATGTAGATTTCAGTTTAATTAATCATTTACATTATTATAATTTCAGTTTAAATGATTGAAGTGTTTCCATTTGTTTTATATACAATTTATTATTATTATTCTTATTATTATTATTTTAAATAAAATAAATATAAAAGTAGTATTTACTTTATAAATACTATTTTTATATTTACGTTAGCAGCATATCCCCACAAACAGGATAATTTTAGATATTAAAAAAGTGATTAATTTCATCTAAGTCTAAGAAAGCTGAACTAAACAGTAATATAACATTTGTGTTAAAATGATTGCCAATGAATCTAAGTAATGCATTTTGTAAAATGTATTTTTTTCTCTCTCAAAATTTCTATGGACTTCTGGGGGAAAACCACAGCTTTATCGAACTTTCTCTTTTTTTTCATTAAACAATTTACAAGTTTTTGTGTAATGAAAACTGTTGCTTTAACAGGCCGTGGGTTATTTGTAGGTGTATGATGTGATTGGCTGTAATGAGGCAGTCAGTGATGTGTGGCGTGGAATTCGTCCTGCTTGTTTTTCTTTGCTATTTTTCTCCGTTAGTGCACAGATAATCATCTAGCGCTCAGCATCACCTCTCTTAGACAATGATGCGGCCATGCCATAGCAAACGAGTGTGTGTGTGTGTGTGTACTCTGAATGTATATTATCTCTCCAAACACTCTGTGGACAGTGCATTAAATGTGTTTGACTTGGCCGGAGGCCTCTTTCCTTGCGATAACAGTCCGTCGTTAGCGACCAATGAAGAAAAGGAGCACTAACTGTTCGGGGTGCGGTTATGTCAGTCCCCGTGACGATACCGAAATCAACCTGTCAGCCCGTCGGAACTGGCAGAGATGGGAGCGATATGTAAGAAGTGTGTGTGTGTTATCCTGTATTTGTTGACAGATCTTCACACCCTGTTGATTAGCATCTTGAAGCTTTGGTAGTGTGAGAGTGCTAATGTGTTTGCACATCTAGTGAGCTACACCCAGACCCGCCAGACAGGGAGGGACGTACCCCTACACTTCATATCTACCCCAGACAGACCAGTGGTCGCTGCTTTTGAATCTAGAAAGCCAGGCCAGTTTCCACCATGATAGAGCACGACAAGTACCAGATGCTGGTTTAGTGATGCATCAAGTTCATTAGAATAAAAAAATGTGAAGAAAATCAGGTAGTACTGTATATATGCATGTATATGTGTATATATATATATGTATGTATATATATATATATATGTGTGTGTGTACGTACGTATGTATATATGCCAAATGCAGTTGTAAGTGCACTGAAAAATAAAGTAACAAATGGGGTATAAAATCAAATAGAAAAATGGTAAAGATAACACTAGGACATATTTCTCTACTTAGAGCTGTGTTTAACTTTTACTTTTTTTGTTTGCTTTTATTGAACTGATTATATTAATATATATTTTTGTTTATTTTTTATTGCAAATTACATTTATTATATTTATTTTTTTATTAAAACAATTATTTAAAAACAATTACTTTTACTTTAAACAGTACAAAAAAACAAGTATATGTGTTATTTTCATAATATTTTTTGATTATTAATATTCTTTTTTTATGTATTGTTTTATTTGCATGTCATTTTTAATTTGTAATATTATTTTATTACTTTATAAATATTATTTAATAATTAAAGTTAGAATAACCTAAAATAACACAATGCCAACAAACACAGTTGTACACATTAAATGTACTGAAAAAGTAACAAATGAGGCAAAATAAATAAATAAAGGTGTATATATATATATATATATATATATATATATATATATATGATATTATATATATTATTAGGTACATATATTATATCTATTATGTCTCATTGGGAATCTAATTGTTTTCATTTTAATATAAAAAAAGCATGTAAAGAAATCAAACACCCGAGGGACTCCCTGTTAATAAGAAAAAGCCAGTAAAGTTCCAAAGGCTGCATTGTCGGCCTGAAAAGTGGTTAGTTTAGTAGAAAATGTAATGTGAGAGAGATCAGTCAGTTGAATCATCTGACAACTAAATCATTCATAAATCTGTCAAGACTAGTTTTTTTGAAAGAAATTCATGTAAAAAGAGTGCTGTGTGTAATTATATATCAATTTTAGCATGTATATGTATTCGAAATATATGTGTGTGTGTGTGTGTGTGTGATGGAGGTGGTTGAACAGACCCTCAGTGGCGATGCCAGCGGGCAGAGTTGGGCTGTTTGGGGCGCCACAATGTGGCTGTCAGTCTGTGGGACATCACACACATAAACTCACTCTCTCTCTCTCACACACACACACACACTCGCAGTCTTCAGAACGTCCCACAGGAGAGGAGCGAGAGAGGTGCAAGTGCTGCCCCCGTCTAACCCAAACCATCCATCATACTGACAGGGTCTGAGAGCAGTGCAGGCCTGGGAAAGCCACCGGCCAGCAGGCAGCAACACACACACACGCATGCCAGACCAGAGAAGTCCATGCCAGCTGCACATGTTCACACTTGCCACCGTCACACACACACACACACTCTGAAGTGTGCACGCTTGTGTTTATTGTTGGCTGGAGCATCGAAACTTCCATCGAAGACTCATACAGATGAGCTCTTCACTCAAATGTGCAACGCTATCATGAACATACTGATCTGAACAAACTGATCCGAGGCACTTCTGCACATTTCAAGAGTTTGTAGATGCTTTGGGGGTTTAATACACACCTGTTCATGTACTTATGTCTCAGATCTGACAGAATTTGGTTAATTTAATGAATGTGCTAGATCAGTAAGCTCATTGACAGTATCTTTGGCAGCCTGGGAGTAATTTTGACTTTATTTTGAAGTTTATTAAACAAGACACTGCAGAAGGTTTAAAGCTACTTATTTTACCTAATCCATATACACTCTTAAAAATAAAGGTGCTTGAAAAGGTTCTTCAAGCGATGCCATAGAAGAACCATTTTTGGTTCCACAAAGAACCATTCAGTCAAAGGTTCTTTAAAGAACCATCTCTTTCTTACCTTTTTATAATCTGAAGAACCTTCTTTCGCCACAAAGAACCTTTTGTGAAACAGAAAGGTTCTTCAGATGTTAAAGGTTCTTTATGGAACCATTGAGACAAAAAGGTTCTTCTATGGCATCGTGAAGCACCTTTATTTTTAAGAGTGTATGTGTGTGTCATTTGAGCTAAAACTGGTCTCAGTCGTCTTTTTAGCTGTGTGACTACAGTTTTGAACTTCTAAATAAGAGTTACCAAGCAAAATTCCTGTGGGGGATTTTTCTGCATGTGCTTTTCTGGTATCTTTTGTGTATTATGAAACAGTTTTACCAACTTAACTTGGTCATAAATGTATAAAAAATACATTCCATCATCCAGCGGCAGTTGATATATATATATATATATATTTGAACAAATATTAAGTCACTTCTGGATAAGGCATTAAAAAACTATTTAGAAATTGCATTTTAGTTTAGAAATGAAATATTTTATATTTTTAAATCCTTATTTTGGTTTAAAAACTATTTCTGAATCTTCAATTAAATATTTAAATTCACTATCAAAATTATTTCATAAATACAATATTTTTTTAGGTTCTTTAAAGATAAATAAGGCTGTATTTTTGAGCTTTGAATAACTTCAAATTTTTTAAATAAACAAACAAATAAATAAATAAGATAAAATCTAAATAAAAATAAAATCTTTTCACACACAAAAAAAGCTTTTTCCATCTGCTTATCAGACATTTTTTTCATAATTGAATGAAATTGAAATGTTTATCTGTGGTAAACAGCATGTTGCAGAGGCTATCAATAGAATTTAATTGTATTGATTCCAGAACATTCCTCTAATATGTGAGGAGATTCTTATGTAACAAGATGTTTTTTTCCTTTTTTTTCATTCTGTTAACAACCGTTCTAGAAGAGATCAACACAAGCATGCACACACACACACACTGTGCAGTTCAGATGGAAGTGATTTTGGGCAATAGGTCAAAGGTCATCTGCATTCAAACAGAGGCTATCACCTCCAGACATATCTCACACACTCTGATGGAGTAGTAGTGAGAGAATGTCTGTGGCTTTCTGACCTCTCCAGACTCTGTTCTGGCCTATTAGTAAACAGGAAATAATTAACACCATGAACAATAAGACAATATGGACAGACTCGAGCAGCTTGCTTTATTTTGGCCTGTCTACATTGTGGCGCCTTTGAGTGTGTGTATGTGAGATAGAGACAGACAGACAGCGAGACTCCTCCTCCTCATTAGAGTCCTCTCTGTGTGATCAGGAAGTGAGTTTAAGTCAGCATTAATCTGTCACTGTGGCCAGACCATCCTTGCCACGGCAACTGTTTCCTTAGATAAACCCTGCATCGGCGATCACCGTGGTGACAGGTGCTGATTGGGCACGAGTGGGAGGAAGCCCCTCAGACAGGAAGAACGGACAGTTCTGTCAGGGAAGGAACAGAGAGGTCAGGAGAGTTTTGAGGCTGTTTTTTGTCTCATCGTCTGATGAATGCACTTGTAGGCACTGAAGTGTGTTGTGCCCTTTACAGCTCAGAAAGTTTTTTATTCAAATATTATGGAGTCGGTACGATTTCAATTCAATTCGATTCAAATTTATTTGTATAGCGCTTTTCCCAATACACAACATTTCAAAGCAGCTTTACAGAAAATGCATGTGTCAGAAGTGAATGTGTCCAAGTAATGTTCATTTCACGAATGAACAGTTCAAGATAATAGAATCATACAGTTAGCTAACATGAATTAATTTTAGGCTCATTAAAGCGATTATTACAAATGTGATCATAACGAATAAAATACAGAGAACATTTGGCAGATTGTGCCAAATGTCACTGAAAGAAGACTCATGCTCACCAAGGCTGCATTTATTTGCTACAATATCCTCCTGAGAACCAGAAATAAAAAGCGTTGTGAATTTAGTATTTTTTTCATGTCATTACATTGTTTAGAAAAAAATGGTAAAATAACATTTTTGAAAAATTATATTTTATTCATAACTTATGCTATGTCCTCTGTAGAGGACACCAGGACTCAGTTTTTCTAAAAATAAAATGACAAGAGTAGACATGAAAAGGCAAAAACAATGGGAATTAAAAAATAATAATTTTAATCACCAATCCATTTTTAGGTTTCAGGATTTTTTTATAACTAACTTTGTTTAAGGATGGTTCTCAACTATGTTATAAAATATATAATGATAAAAAATGATTTGATATACCATTTTGCTTTATGCAATATGTGTGTAAAAATTCCATAAACTGGTTTTCCCATTAAGCACAATGTTATCTATACACTGTATCTAATTTGCATATTAAAGTGCTTTTGGGACAGCATGTTGAAAAAAGAAGTGTAATAATGACAAAATCTTATCATATTTCCATAAGGATGTACAATTTTATCACTAAATTAATGTCAGCCATTTTTAAAAACCAAGGAGAGGGAGTGGTCACGGTGAAACATCATTTGGTATCTCTGGAAAGCCCTGAATGTGCTCTATACAGGACATCCAGACTTAAAACTGTGACATGTGAGGTCTCAGAGAAATTCACTAAAATATAATGTCCACTACAGAGGCAAAAACTCCATAGCTGGGTCTCAGGAGGATATAGTAATATTATGAAATATTATTACACTTTAAAATAACTGTTTTAATAAATAAATATTTTTTTAAATGTAATTTATTTCTGTGATGCAAAGCTGAATTTTCAGCATCATTACTTCAGTCTTCAGTATTGTAATATGCTGATTTGCTGCTTAAGAAACATTTCTTATTGTTGTCAATATGAATGTAGGGTTCATATTTTACCATGTTTTACCATGTTACCAAATCAATTCCACAGAATCATTACAGAAAATGCTGTAAAAATCTGTATGTTGCTCTTTGGCCTGCTCATGAAACTTGTTGAAGGTTCTTTCAGATGTTAAACTTCCTTAGTAGCAATTGACCCTTCGCAAAGACCCGCCCACCTTAGTTATTGTTGCTACGTCCGACAAGCCACAGCGCTCTCACGCCTCACATCATGTTCTCACGCAGTGAAAAATACATCATGGAGCAAAGACGACACTGACAACGCGCCGACAGACAAGACAGAGCAGGTTACTTTTGGTATGAAAAAGTCTCAGCTTTCAAATTTTGTAAGAAATTAAAACAATAAATACAGTTTTGTGGCTCTTTAATGTGTCGTGACAGATCACTGTAGCCCCTCAGTTCAAGCAGCACGTGAACTGATCATTTCTTCCTCTTTATTAGTTATAGCGCAAATTAAACACGAATGAACATCAGAAGGTATCTTGCTTCAACTGCGGAAAGACGTCAGTATAGACCATTTTTCACGTTCAAGTCCACCGGCGTTAATCTACTCTCCTGTCTGTTTTTATTTTAATTTGTTTATCGGACGAAATGGCAGATTCTGCGTTATGACTGGTCAGATCGCCTTTCAATCAAACTCCCTGCAAAGGGTCAGTTAAAGAGAAACAATTGAGACCATTTGACATACAATAGAATGTATACTCTCTTAAATATAAAGGTTCTTTATTGCCATCTATGGTTCCATGAAGAACATTTAATCTCCATGGAACCTTTCCATTCCTCAATGTTTTTATAGTGGCAAAAGTTTCTAGATTATTCAAATGTTCTTAACTTCAAAGAAAAAATTGTTCTTTTAATAACCATTTTTTGAAAGGTTCTTTAGGGAACCCAAAATTATTCTGCTGTGGAATCACTGCAGGGTAAAAAAAACTTAATTTTTAAGAGTATTGAGGGACTTTTGATTACAGACTTTGATGCCTGAGACATTGTTGAGAGCCCTTCTGAGGAGACACACGCGAGATTGCTGAGATGTATTTCTCAGGAGAAAAGTATGAGGAACAGGAGACTTGCACATAGATGTCCATTTAATCTAGGAGAGACACGGTTTCGAAAAATCTCACTTGTGTTTTTTCTTGCATACACTCTTAAAAATAGAAGTTCTTTATTGGCATCCATGGTTCAGTGAAGAACTTTTTAACATCCACGGAACCTTTCCATTCCACAAAAGTGGTGGGAAATTGTTCTTCACACTAAGAAAAAATGGTTCTTTTAAGAACTGTTCGCTGAAAGGTTCTTTAGAGAACCCAAAATGGTTCTTCCGTGGCATCACTGTTAAAACCTCCTTTTGGAAGCTTCATTTTTAAGAGTGTATGCTGTATGAGAAAAGAAGTAACATTAAATGTTTAACCCAACTTTCTGGGTAGTAACCCAACGGCTGGGTTTGTCCATATTTTACCCAGCGCTGGGTTGTATTTAACCCAGCATTTTTTAGAGTGTGGATGACTTGATGAATAGGTATTACTCCCTGCCACAACTTACTTGTTGGGGCCGTCAGTTCAACAACTTTTCCCATAATCCTTCAAGGCAAACAAACTAGTGTGTTCATCGGCTGCTAAAGAAAGATAGGGAGGGCAACAGAGAAAGAGCGAGTGAGTGAGTAACAGCAGGGTCCAATTCCTCCACTCAAGTGCTCCTCTCATGCAGTAGGTCTGATTAGACTCGCCCCCCGCCAGTTTGTCGGCAGGAACACTAACTTCAAATACGGCCCCGCTCGCTCGGCCCAAATAAAACCTGACTGCTCCCCTCCCCTCCCTCTGCATCGCTCCTAATGGACAGGGTTTAATCTCACTTTCTCCTTTGGATATTTGAAGATTTCCTCCTGCCGCGGCTGGCCGGCGCAGAAACGAATTCTTCTCGCTTTGTTGATTAAAACCGGCCGCACTCCACCGTCGCTTATCGGCCAGCGACGAGCAGCTCTTTTTAATTAAAACTAAGACAGCACAAGTGCGCAATTAACAGCTGGTAATTACGCAGAGTCTCTGAAGTGCGCCGGCGCCGTCTCCGTTTCACTTGTGGAACGGACAAGTGGCTTTTTGATCTCTAAATTAGTGAACCCTTGTAATATTTGTTTTGTGGCAGATTTGGTGGGTTAATTGTGGCCTGTGGTGGCCTCGCGCGCATGATTGATGTACCACCAGAGAAAAAGGGACATTAAAACTGTAATAGTCTATCAGGATATGCAAATCGCACCTTCATGTTAACAAGCGGGCAGGAGCTGAAGGAAGTGTTTAATGTACGGGAAAAACAATCAACCACTCTGCCTCAAACTGATTAGTCCATTTGAATTTGAAAGTTTAATTAAGTGCCTCTAATACACAGCGTTTTGGAGAGTGACACATAACATTAAACCATTTGATGCTTAATTTTGTATCGTCTATTCTTTGTTGTTGTTTTAATTGCAGGCTCACAGGGTTTGAAATTCACATCCGCTCGTGAGCGGCGAGAGTGTCATGCTACTCGGAGCGCTGTCCCAAAGGGAGGTGACAGGCATTGAATTCATTTTAAAAACCTTCGACTAATCAGCGATGAAAATATTTAATGAGAAGCATGCTCTTTCACGGCATCAAGCAGAACACTTGTTTGGCTTTAATTAGTATTGATTTCCATCTCTGAACACGGCTTGCGAGTTGCTGTTTGTTTGTTTCTTTTGCTGGTTTTTCTTTGCTTTATCCGCATTCCATCAGTGTGAGAACAATTGGCATAATTTTCTTCTGAACAAATATCAGCAGAATAACAGCTAACAGTTGGACTTGATCTATTTCCTGGTTATTTAGAAACTACATTTATATTGGGAATTGTTTTTTCTTTTATCCTGTTTTGGTTTACAAACTTTTTCCAAATGTATATAATATTCATATAATATGTCAGTTCTATAGCAGAATGTTTCAGAAATACTAGCATTTTTTTAGATTATTTAAATAGAAATAAATCTGCCTTTTTATGCTCTTAATCTAATCTTAATCTTTTGGTATCATTCCAAAAAAAAAAGAATTCTCCTTTTTTTATACCATTATTCAGTAATTTTTCATCTGACATTTAGACTTTGCTTTTTATACTATTTCCTTATATTATTTCTGTAACAAATATTTTAGAAATACTAGCTTTTTTAGATTATTTAAGTAGAAATAGGCCTTTTTATAATGGGGAAAAAATTGAGAAAAAGACTTTTGGTATCATTCCAAAAATAATCATCATCTTCTTCAACAACAACAATCCCTTCTTCAAACTTTTTCCATCTGCTTATCAGACATTTAGCTTTTTCTGCTTACCTGAAACAGGATGCCTGATTAAGGTCTGATTAAAAGATCAAAATTTATTTATTTAATGTAATAATTTAATAAAGTAATGCAATTTCGGAGGAAATTAAATTTTTTTAATTGCAGGTTTTAAAATTAACATCATCAAGATTCACTTGCGAAAAGTCTTTTAAAAACTGTAAAAACTCTCTTTGTCTCACTGTATAAAACAATGTTTTCAATTAGATTTTTTGGTCTCTAAACAAACCCTGCATATATGATGTGACGGGTATAAATGAGCACCTGTGAGCGGCTTTAAGGAAATCTCTGTTCACCCGTGAGCTTCATTAGGAGTGAGTTATGAACGCAGGCTGTTTTCAGCAGGTGTGTCTGACAGAACCCAGCCTCGTGGCACAAGGAGTCCGACGGGACGTGAGAGAGCCATAACGTGGCGGCTCTGAAGGAAACGGACCAGGTTTTATAGCAAGACTGATTAGTGCATGTAAAGTCATGCGATGGAAACAGTTTGGGTGTTGCATGTATGATTTTGAATTCTTAATTTGAGGATAATTATTAGAGACAGCAATAAAAAATAAAATGTTATTCGAATACGGTAATACGGCCCACACAGATGCAGTTTAGGTAACATCGCCAGAAGCGTTCCACGAATTGCAGCTTGCTAGATTTGATCTGAAGGCAGTCTGGGTTTAAAAACGTCTCTGTTCCTAATCACAGATCCACCTTCTCAAACAGAATAAAAGCAGAATGAAACAGGGCTGATGCAGTCGGCAGTCAGACCTTAGAGTTTCAATCCAGCGCTACATAGAGAAATAAACAGCTTCCTGGACGTGTGTGTGTGTGTATTAGCTGAAGTGCATTTCATTTCTGTACCGCTGTGTGTGTGTTGGCCATTATGGCTGGGTTTAAAACAGAATGTCACTCGTTACAATCGTGCATGTGGCTTTGCTTAGGGAGCCTGTTCTCTCCAATTAGAAACTGACGAGAGAGACTGAGGCAGGGACGATGGCCAAACACACAACATGGAAAGAAACTGGAAGCCCTGTGTGTCTGTGTGTGTGTGTGTGTGTGTGTGTGTGTGTGAGAGAGAGAGAGAGAGAGAGAGAGAAAGAGATAGAAAGAAAGAGATTGATTGTGTGTTTGTGCATGTGGTCACTTCTCATGAAGAATGCATTAGGGATGTTTGGCGTGTGGGCCGTCAGTCCGTAAGGTTGTGTCGTGTTTCTGTGGCAGATTAATGGAGGCTTCTGTACGTGTCGTGTTCTTGTCATTCACTCAAAGTCTCTCTGAATTTACCCATCAATCTTTCCGTTACTCTTCCTTGGTCACAAGACATCTTCATCCATCCATCCAAAGATGCTACCAGAGATGAAAGGTGATTTTAAAAGTGTGTTTCATTACAGTTTATTGATTATTTGCTTTAAGTGTGTTCAGTAAAAGCATCCAAAAATCTAAATATGAAATTACATACTAAAGTAATCTAATCACAATTATGCACTTCTTTTACAGATTATGGTGCAGATTACATCAAGAACGATAACTATGTCCACACCATAACATTGTGTTTATTATAAGAATGCACTGAAGTTATGTATGGAAACTTGTTTCCACCATGGAATTAAAAAAAAGGTAATTCTGATGTTTTATCTCACAATTCCAGAGATATAAACTCGCAATTCTGAGGAAAAAAGTCTGAATTGAGAGAGAACATAGAATTCTGACTTTATTTCTCACAATTCTGAGTTTACATCTCATAATTCTGATTTTATATGTCGCAATTCTCATTTTTTTTCCTCTGAATTCTGAGTTAAAGGCAATTGCGACTTTTGTTCTCACAGTTTCAAGATTAGGCTGTATCTCACAATTCAGACTTTTCTTCCGAGAGTCGTGTTTATATCTCACAATTTGGACTTTTCTTCTCAGAATTGCAAGTATATAACTTTCAGTTCTGAGAAAAAGGTCTTAATTGTGAGATGTTAGCTCGGATACAACTGTGAGGCATAATTTCGGAATTATGAGGAAAAAAGTCTGAATTGTGAGATAAAAAGTCACGATGACCCTTTTTATGTATTTTTTTATCCTGTGGTGGAAAAGGGCTTTCATAGTTATGTTATCCGCTGTTTTAAATGCTTGCTCTTTAAAGTGAGGTGGATTCTGATTGGCTGTCAAAGTTTTTTTTTCGTACATCAGCTGGAAAATCAGTTTTACATTTTTACCAGTAAGTCGCTTAGGATAAAAGCGTCTGCTAAATGCATAAATTATTATTATTAATAATTAATTAATTATTATTATAGTGTCCATGGTGTGAATGGGCCTTACATCTTTTTTTGGCACAGGTTTGGTTCAGTTCATTAAAACGGACAAATAAATCATGTTTTGTTCTTCACACAAAGCTATATCATTTAGTTTCTGAAGACTTATAATATAACAGACAATCGAGCTATCCATTTGTCCACCTTCTCTGGAGATGTATTGGCATTGTGTTAAAGTGCTTTATAAATGTATTTTGACAAATGTGCACATTTTCCCATGAGTTCAGGACATTTCATTGAATGTTTTTGTGATTTTAAATGACCTTACAAACCGAGTAAATCTTTCTTACTTATTCATTTTCCTCAAACATGGTGTCGGTGTTACATGACTGACTGGCAGAGTTTAGCATCGAGGCAGCAGTTCTGCATTTGTGTTTCATTGCACTGAAATACAGTCCAAGTATGACGGCGAGACATGTCGAGTCCAAGCTGATTTTGGTGCACTGTGTTATGATGGAAAGACTTTCTAAATCCATTAATCTCCACCAAGAACTTCCACCATCCTATATGGAGTTTATTGAGAGTGTGTAAGTGTGTGTGTGTGTGTGTGTGTGTGTGTGTGTGTTTGGAGGGGGGGAGCTACATGAGGGCCTCTAAAGGAATGAATGAGGGGTATTTGGAAAGCAATGGGAATGGGGTTTTAATGAGAGTTTATAGGGAGTTGGACCCACAGAAAGAGAGAAAGAGAAAAAGCTCTCTAACATGGAAGCCCGCAGTCATCTGGAACTGCACACGCTGCATGAGGAATATCATAAAACCTTCAGAAAGCAAGACGCAAGGGCTCAGGACGTGTGTGTTTGTGTGCGACAATAAGACAATGAGATTGAGGGAGAAACACATTGTCTATGTGTGTAATGTAATACAGTATACTGAATACGGTATTATATTGCAGGCATTTTATACTAGAAATGTTTTCAACAGTAGTACATGTATGCTACATTATAACTTTCAGAAAAGATATTCAGAGGATGACGTAATTACAACACTACCGTTAGCTAAGCAGATGTAAATTTGTCAATAAATGGTTCTCTAAATGCTAACAATGCTGCTTAGTTTTTCTAGGTGTGGCTATATTTATGGAGAATCATTTACAGTGTTTTAGCATCGGTCTCTACATGTTCAGTTAAACAGGTTTTATTTCAATGGAATGTAGGAACTTTGACTTATGGATGCATTTTATTTGCTTAAAAGTAAATGTTTAGCATTAAAGGCAGGGTAGGTGATTTGATTCAAAAACATTTTTTTGTTATGCTGGTTGAAAGTATCTTCGCATCCCGATAGCAATCATAAGTGGTCTAAATGTATTTATATCATC